CATCACCTGTGCTTTGGATGATTTTGTTAATTGTTTAAAAAAAGCCTCATCCACCTCTTCTTCCTGGTTAGGTGGTCTGTAGTAGATCCCTACCATGACATCTCCCTTGTTTTTTACCCCTTATATCCTTACGCAGAGACTCAACAAGTCTGTCTCCTATTTCCATCTCAACCTCAGTCCAAGTGTATACGTTTTTAATATATAAGGCAACACCTCCTCCCTTTTTTCCCTGCCTGTCCTTCCTGAGCAAGCTGCTGTACCATTCTATACCAATATTCCAGTCATGTGTATTATCCCACCAAGTCTCTGTGATGCCAACTATGTCACTGTTGTGTTTATATACTAGCATTTCAAGTTCCTGCTTATTCCCCATACTTCTTGCATTAGTATACAGACTTCTAAGATACTGATTTAATTCCCCTCCCCTCAGTTCTCTCTTGTCTCTCCTTTATCCCTGCTATAACAGCCCATGCTCCCCCCAGATTCTGAATCTTCTCCCGGGTCACCATAATTTTGACTTACCTGTTGGCTTTGGTCACCTGCCCCCTACGAACCTAGTTTAAAGCCCTCCTCACGAGGTTAGCCAGTCTGTATCCAAATATGCTCTTCCACTTCCGCGATAGGTGGACCCCATCTCTGCTGAGCAGTCCTTCTTCCTGGAACTGCATCCCATGGTCAAGGAAGCTGAAGCCATCCTGGCAACACCATCTTCGCAGCCAGGCATTCACCTCCAGGATGCAGCTGCGTCTGCCAGGTCCCCACCCCTTGACCGGAAGGATCGAAGAGAACATCACCTGTGCTCCCAACTCCCTCACCCATACTCCCAGAGCCCCTTAGTCACTTCTGATCTGCTGAGGGTCATACCTCGCAGTATTGTTAGTGCCCACATGGATGAGTAGCATGGGGTAATAGAGGGCTGGATGATCCTCGACAAACCCTCCATAACGTCTCGGATACGGGCCCCTGGCAGGCAGCATACTTCCCAGGATGCCATGTCAGGGCGACAGATGATTGCCTCATTGGGATCAGCCTGAAGCCAGAGGCGCTCAAGATTTGGGCTCTTAGCCTCCGCCTGTGCAGCTGGCTGGTGGAAGACATTGCAAACATGAAAGACACCAGTGAGGCGCACATACAAGTGCTCCCTAAAGAAGAAATGAAATCCAGGATTGCTGCAGATGCACTGGACAGAGAGCCATTGAACAGGGGCGGCTCTGTTTTTTGCCGCCCCAAGCACGGCAGTCAGGTGGCCTTCGGCGGCATGCCTGCAGGCAGTCCGCTGGTCACACGGATTCGGCGGTGTTTCTGTGGGTGGTCTGCCGGTCCCGCATCTTCGGCGTACCCGCCGCTGAATTACCGCCGAAGCCGCAGGACCGGCGGACCTCCCGCAGGCATGCCGCTGAAGGCTGCCTGGCTGCCGCCCTCACGGCAACCGGCACGCCGCCCCCCACAGCTTGCCGCCCCAGGCATGCACTTGCTGTGCTGGTGCCTGGAGCCACCCCGCCATTGAAGAAGCTAGAGCTGTGCATCGATCCCTTAGACCCCCACTAAGCACCAGGAGGCAATAATAGACATTGGTGGTAGAGTGGCACCACCATTGGTCAGTGTAGATGACACATTGTGATGGCATGTGCTCCTCACACTCGTCAGGAGGGCCCAATCAACTACTGAGGCTGCAAACAGGGGCACTTTAGGCTGGAGGCAGCTAATTAGGAACAGGCTCCTCCGTACAGGAACAGGCAGGGTCTGTATAAAGCCAGGTAACTGATTGCAAATGGGAGCTGGTGTTTGGGTAGGCTGCAGTCCCTCTGAGGGGAGGGAGTTGGAGGCTGGCAAACCCAGAGATGGGGGAAGTCAGATAGGTAGGAAGAAGCCCAGAGAAACAGCAGCAAGGCATAGGACTCTACCCGGACAGTGACTGCTTGTTACAGGGTCCCTGGACTAGAACCCAGTGTAGAGGGTGGGCCTGGGTTCCCCTACCAGCCACTGGGGTGTGGCTAGGGCATGGGAGACACCAGCCGGACAGTGGGTCTGGAAAGACTTTGAATTTCCCGGAAGGGGGGGACCTTAGTGATCTGGCCGGAGGCTAAGCCACGAAGAGTAGACTGCCGATCCAGGAATGAGCGGGGCCGCAGAGTGAGACAAGATGGGGGAAGACACCACTGGAGGGAGCGTGCAAGAGCTAATTCCCAGGACGGCCAGCAGGAGGTGCCGCAAGCAGTGAGTGAACACACTCTTACAAGTGCTATTCGCCAAATGCCAGAATTTTAACGTAGCTGGCCCAGACGATTGTATGACAAAGTGTCAAGGGTAGTAGAGACACTGGCAGTGACAAAAGATAAGCATGTATAGGTTGGTATTGGACACTAGCCTTATCTATTCAAGAGTGATTGGCCTATAAGCAAGTTTATGAGAGGTTGACATCAAGAATGTTTTATCACAGGAGTTGCTCCTCTACCAAGGCTCAGTGTAGCCTCAAGAAGCAGCTGCAGACCGAGGTGTCAACTAGACATACTTCACAAGAAATCACCTGCTTGGTCATTGGCGGTTCCACAGTTCTTTGGATAGTTCACTGGCCAGCAGGTGGTATCATCAAGGACTTTATGACCAGTTTCAAAGTCTGCCTTGAGCACAAGCTAGCAGCATGTGATGTGTATCTTGTCTTTGGCAGGTACCAAGAATTCAGCACAAAGAGAGTCACAAGATCTAGCAGAGCTACAGAAACAAGCGGTGTGCATCTGTTGAGTATAAGCACACAGCTACCTCCTGTAACAAGGTGGTACCCACCTCTTGTGAGCACCCCCTGGCTGGGTGTGCCTCCGCACCTCCCTCAGTCTGTGGTGACCCCTGTTGCTGGTTTCTCAGGCGGTTTCGGTGACTGAGCCCTCTGGCCAAGTCTCTCACACAGTCTGTGAGCTTTCAACAAAACAAAACCCCTTTAACTAATCACTGTGCTGCTTCAGTTCCCTGGCCCACTCTCCCGCTCTAGCACCTTCACAAATGCTTCACCCTTACCGTAGGGCCGAAGTCCTTTCACTCAGTCCCAGCAGCCAGTGAGGACCTCTCTCTTGCTCCCCCAGTCCCTGCCAGCAACTGATCTGTCTGTGGTCTTGCTGCTCCTTCAGCCAGCCCAGAGCACAGTTCTCACTCCTCCAGCTCCAGGCAGCAACTGCCTGACTCTCACTCTGCAGCTCCTGTTACATGGGTCTGCAACCCTCAGATTTGCTGCTCCCTGGAGCCTTTCTCTGATTGGCTGCCTCCTGCACAGTCTCTCTAGGCCACTTGGAAGGCTTCTCTACTGCTCTTTTTCTATGACAGGTCTGATAGGACCCTGTGGCCTACAGCAGGGACCTCTGGGCCTGGTACACTCTGTCACACCTCCACAGAAAATTGTCTTGATGGTTACTGAAAATAAGACACAGTTGATAAGATTTGTAGAGAACTCATTCAAGACAAGAAGTTTAACGAACGACTCATACTAAAGCACAAGCTAATCATCACAGGCAGAGATGGCAGCCCGATTGAAATAAACCAGGGAGATGCGGTGGTCAACGGAGAAGATATGGCCATCTCTCATGAGGAGGCCGACAGCATCCTTGTACAACAAATGGTGATGGTCACAAAAGAGGAACTGGTGGGAATATCCATGTTATCAGACGACACTGACGTATTTGTCTTGCTCTTGCACCATTACCGCAAACAGGGCACAGCATCTTTAGTGAGCATGGAACCCTCCAGTCCAAGGGAGAGCTGGACTAGACATGCATGCTACTGCTAATTAGGAACAGGCTCACCTTGTACCAGGGCTGTTAGCTGCCCATGCACTCAGGCTGTGATACAGTGGTTAACTTGGCAAAGGCACTATGTTGAAGATTGGGTGTGCTAGATGCTCCCTCTCTCTGCTGGGTGACATCAGTGCAGCAGAGCTTGGTGTCATTGAACAGGCAACCAAATTCGTGGCTGCCTGCTACAGACACTCAAATCATGCCACCATGTCGGACACACGGCAGAAATCGGGCAGCAAAAATTGGCAAAGGTACCACCAGAGCTCACCTCCTTACCCCCAACAACCGAAGCATTTAAAAAAAATGGAAAATGAGCACATCTTCATGCGTGAGTGGGTACAAGTGCTTGGAATCCATTAGGGATGGATCCGCGAAGACAAGTCTCTCCTTCCCAAAACCGTAGCAGACAGTGCCGTGCGTGCTCTCCGGATATTTTGAAGTTAAACAGGCGCTCTTGTGAGAGTGATGCACCTTGTAAATCTATGAGATGCGTATGCAACCGCGCCAAACTGCCACGGACCATGTTCTGTCCAGGGCAGGGAGGTGTGGTTTGTAGCAATGACCTAACGAAATCAGCTTTAGCTTTGGGAGATCACAAGCCGTGACTTGTATTACTCATCCTGGGGCACTGAGCTATAGTCTGAATGAGGGAGATCACTAGTATTCATTTATAATGATTCCAACGTTAAGAATTTGGTTCAAATTATTCTTATTATTGAATATATTTATAATGGGCTGAATATTTTTCACATTAAAAGAGTGGTCGGTGTATCTAATGAAAATTGAGGGCTGCCCCGACTCTCCCCCCCCCCCCCGTACCCCTGTGATTCAAATACATAGTTACTGATGGCTGTAGCAAGTGTTAAATACATGCATTTCATAGATTAGAACTTAATTTTGTATGCCCCAGATCACACAAACTCTTACTGGTTCTGGGGGCAGGGGTGGCGAGGTGGAATGACAGGTCAATATTTCAAAATGCTCAACAGTGTCATCAGGCAGATTTGTAAAATGTGTGGTCTTGTGATACAGAATCCACCCAAAACCCTTATGTGGACCCTAGAGCAAGGTCGCCCAGAGTGGCTGCTGGGCTTAGGGGTCTGCCTAGAGCTGGGTGGGGCTCTGTGGCAGCCAGAATGCGATTCACACCCCCAAGGACCAGGGCTCTCTGTGCCGAAGGCAAAGTCTCAATGTGCTATGATTGTCTGTGTGTTCCAGGGGGACCATGGTGCTCCGGGTGTGGATGGGCGCCCAGGGCTGGAAGGTTTCCCAGGACCTCAGGTGAGTGTCGGGATTCCAGCTCCCTGACCCACCCTAACTGCTGTTTGTGGACTCTGAAGTCTGTTATTCTTAGAGACCTGCCCAAGTGTTTGCTGGTTGCGGGTACAGCCCTCTTTAGACAGCAGGGCCTGGATTGTTCTCACAGCTATATACTGTTCTCACAGTACAGTTCAAGTGACACATACAGATGTTCTGCTCCCCAGCGGCAAATGTCAGGTGTCCCTTGCCCTGTCACTGAAGTCCTCGCTGCGGACTGATAAAATGCATCTGAGTCGCTCTCCGTCAGCTGAGCAGACCTGCCTGGGCTGTTCACAGCCCGTCCCTGGCCATCGCTTCCCACCCCGGCCCGGTTCACATCTCTTCTACGTGCAGTCCAGAGAGTCCCATTCTGCTCTGATGTTTGGCCAGGTTTCCGATTCCTTTTGGTGCCCTGCCCTGCCCCAGGTGCAGAGTCTGCACTGGTGTATAAACTCCACTAGCAGATAACGGGGGGCATCTGCTGCTTTCCTGGGGACAGGACAGGCCATGCCAAGAGGCAGGGGCGTTCTCATCAGCAGAGATGCAGCTCCTGCTAGCCCCAAGAAGGACTGTTTCACCCCATTTGGTTACCTCGTCAGGCTCAGCTCCTCCATTCATGGTTCATTCATGCGGCTCGCCTGTGTGATGGCGCCGTTCCCACCAGGGCTGTCCCTTGCTGCACAGTTGCTAATGGGGACAGCCTGGTAGCCACAGGAGACGTCCCGGGACATTTGAGCCTGTTCTGTCTCTTTGCTGTCTCCGGACCAGCTCCCCTGCTGTTCCCTTAACGGCAGAGGCAAGACTAGTTTGTCTCTGAAGTGAGCATTAGACACTCATAGGTACCAGAGCCTGCCCCTTCTACCTTGCTGGCACTTTGCAACTGGACGCCGGGAGTGTGGATTCAGAGGCCACCATAGCAAAGTGAAGATTGTGTGTTGTCTTTCTCTCCTGGGCACATAGGCGAGCAGCTCTCACCCTCACTTCTCATTGCAGGGACCCAAGGGTGACAAGGGCAGTCAGGGGGCTAAAGTGAGTACAGCGCTGGGTGCCGGGGCATGCTGCTGTTCTCTGGGGAGCCCTCAGGCGAGCACATGGAGCCACCTCCTCCAGCCCCTTGAGCTCTGTTCTGGTTCGGGATGGGGGCGGGGGGGCTGTGTGCGTATTTTGGTCCCTTGTTGATTCTGAACAGTGTCACATCCCTGCTTGGCTGGCTCCCTTCCTGCCATGCCAGCCCAGCTCAGCTTCTGGCCCATCAGCCTTTGGGCTGCTCTGAACGCCTGGGAGGAAGCCAGGCTTTCACAAAGCTCTGTCTCCACCCCCAGCTGCTCAGGCCACTGGGGGGGTGGGGGGGGGGAGGGCTAGGATTGGGAACCCAGCCCCATGGGGGTGCAGTTTGGGATCGGAGGCCTGGCGAGGTGGAGGGCGCGGTCTGGGCTCAGGGGCCTGGCACCATGGGGGCAAGGTGGGGGAGGCGTGGTCTGGGTTCAGGGCCTGGTCCCATGGGAGCAAGGTGGGGAGGCACGGTCTGGGCTCGGGGGCCCAGTGAGGGGCATGGTCTGGGCTCAGGGCCTGGGCCCGCAGTTGTGAGCGGTGGGGTGGGCTCGGGGGCTTGGGCCCGTAGTTGCGAGGGGGGGCAGGCTTTGGGGGAGGGCCCTGCAGTTGTGAGAGGGGGCAGTGTGGGCTGAGGTTGGGTGCAGTAGGAAGGAAGCCTGCACTGAATTGTCTTTCTCAGGGTGAACGAGGCCAAGATGGAGTGGGCTCCCCAGGCCCCCCCGGGCTCCCTGGACCCCCGGGGCAGGTCATCTATGCGTTGGGTGAAGAGGTAAGGACGCGTCCCCCTGCAGGCTGCACTTCTGTCTCTGGGTCCCCTGGGCCCAGGCTGTTCTCAGCCTGTTCCCTCTCTACCCACACCCAGCTGCTATGTGCCAGTTCCTTCAGGTTTAGCACCAGGCTGAGCAGTGGCTTCATTCCCGCCTAGCACTGGTGAGTTACTATGGGCTGGTGTTGACCCCGACTGGGGCCCCAGCATCCCATGGCTCATGCAGCTTGGAGCCGGGCTGCGCTTGAGTGCACTTCAGCAGGTGTGTCACTGCTGGCGGGACTGGGCCGGGCTGTGGAGCTGCTCCCTGGGGAAAGGCACATGTTTAACTTGGAGTAAAAGCCCCAAGCCTGAGAGCGCTCCCGCAGGCTGATACTCCTGTGAGTTCAGAGAGGCCGGCCCTGCAAGCGGTAAGGGCTGGAAGAGGAAAGAAGAGAGGGGAGGGTTTAGGCAAAGGGAAATCAGAGCTGGCTGGAGGTGAAACGCAGACAAATGGGAGCTAGACCAGGCCAGTGCTGTAACTAAAAATACACCACAGGATCACGTCCCTCGCTCTGCTGGCAATGCCCCTACTTATACAGCCCAAAATGCCGTTCGCCTTCCTGGCAACAAGGGCACCCTGTCGACTCATATCCAGCTTCTCGTCCACTGTAACCCCTAGCTGATAAAAGCACGTCAGCAGGAGAGGGAATAAGTGGCGATAAATGGGAAAGGACCAAACCCGTAGAACCCGAGTTTGGTTGGGGCCTTTCGTGCTGGGGAGAGGGCACATCGCCCTTAGCGAGCAGAGCAGTGGGCCTGAGCCAAAGCCCGCTGAAGTTTGTGCAGTTTCCTAATGACCCCAGGGAGCTTTGGGTCAGCCCCTCCCCTTGGCAGAAGGTCAGTTCTGGACATCGCTGAGGGAGGCAGGAGGAAGGCAGCCAGGATCCGCGGTCTAATGTGTATCTTTTCCTTTTCAGAAAGCATTAGCTAGTTTGCCAGGCCCTGAGGTACGTAGCCCTGAGCATCCCCCTGTCATTTGTCCAGCCAGCAGCCCCAGCAGTCCCCTTTGTGCATCAACGGTTTTACCTGAGGGGAGAGAGTTTACAGGTGTCTGTTTCTTTCCTCAGGGCAGAGAAGGCCATGCTGGCTTCCCAGTGAGTAGCTTTATGATTTTACTGACAGCTTTCCCATTCTCAGGGTTCTATCTGAGCCCCGTGCAGAGGAGCCCATGTCCCCGGTGGGAGCCTAAACCAGATCCAGACACCCACCAATCCGGGCTGTGCACAGCCTGGACCTGGAGCTAAATGCTTAGTTCCTCTCTGAGCCAGATCCCCAGCTGGTGTAAATCAGTGTAGCCCCATTGGAGTCAAAGCCTGCGTACACTGGCTGGGAATCTGGCCCCTTCACTCTTTCTAACATGGCACCCACGAGACACCACCTCTGTCAGATGGTGGGGCGGGGCGTTGGTGGAGGCCTGCTTGTGAATGGGCCAGAGCTGAGGTTCATTTTGATTCCCGTCACTTTCAAGAGCTTTAAGGTTTTTTAAACACTGTCTGTGGAGACGTGCTTGCTACACAGGCTGTGCGAGACAAGCTGAGCTGGCGCAGCACATTTGCCTGCAGTAATACATTTTTTTTTTTTTTTGCCGAATACATTAAGTGCAAACTCCTGCCTGCCAAAGCGAGCAGGCTGCTGGTGAAGCAAGCTGCAAACGCCTTTGGTGGGCCTGAGCTTTCTAACCCCTGGGAAGGAGTCTCCCTGCCTGCCCACCTTGAGAGAAGTCATAGGTGCTGGAACTAGGGGTAATGGCTTGAAGTGGTTTCCATCATATCCCGGGTTTACAGTTTGGTTCAGTGGCTCTCAGCCCCCCCACTATACAAACTGTTCCCGCGTCCCTGCGGGAAGCCCACAGTACTGGAAGTAAAGGAGTGTCCTGCATCACTACACTGTCTTCATGGCTATTCCTCCCTGCTTCCATTTGCAGGGCCCAGTGGGACCTAAAGGAGACCCGGGAGACCCAGGTTTCCCAGGCACTCCAGGACTAAAGGTAGGACGGCCTGTCTGCTTGTCTCTGTCCCCCGTGCTCAATGGGTGATTTTGATTTGTGGCGATGTGATGTTCCCTGTCTACGAAGTTCCTGCTCTCTGGCTCCCAGCCCCACTGACAGCTCCCAGTTCATAGTGGAAGGGACCATACACAGTCGTGTCACAGCACTGACCTCAGACTCCTTTAGCCCTGTGGGGCGTGGAAATTCATATTGGTTCAGGCACCTGAGGCCACCATGCTGGCGGCCGTCACTCTGTGAGATGTCACCAGATCCCAGGAGAGTAATAGGAGAGCAGCTGTGCTCCTTCCAGCAGCTTGGTACCAGGGAATCCAGCGGTCACACTCTCTGCCAGTGGAACGAATTGAATGAGAGAAATGCCAGGTGTAAAATCACCTTCTGGCTTATCCCATCCCTCCATCCCCACTGCTGCTGCAGGACTGCTCCCTGCTGCTTTTTGTTGAGTTGTTTTAAATGTCTCCAGTCATGGGGTTTCCATGATGCCTTGAGAAGCCCCAGCTTGGCTCAGGGAGCTCTTACCCATGCTAGCTCTGTCCCCTCGTGCTCACAATGAAGCTGAGAAAACTCAGCTATGCGTTGCTGGGATCTCGAGTAGGAGCAGAGAGATTATTTTCCCTCTGTATTTGGCACTGGTGCTGCTGCCATACTGTGTCTAGGCCTGGTGCCTACAATTCAGGAAGGATGTTGATAAATTGGAGAGGGGTCAGAGAAGAGCCACAAGAATGATTAAAAGATTAGAAAACCTGCCTTATAGTGATCGACTCATGGAGCTCAATCTCGTTAATTTAAAGAGAAGGTTAAGGGGTGACTTGATTACCTGGGGAACAAAACGTAAGACGTGGGGAACAAATATTAATCTAGCCAAGAAAGGTCTAACAGGATCCAATGGCTGGAAGTTGAAGCCGGACAAATTCAGACGGGAAATAAGGTGTACATTTTTAACCATTACAGCAATTAACCATTGGAACAGCTTACCAAGGGCCATGAATTTTCCATCACTGGCACTTCTTAAATCCAGATTGGATGTTTGTCTACAAACTCTGCTCTAAGGATTATTGTGGGGCAGGTCTCTGGCCTGTGCTGTACAGGAGCTCAGACTGGATGACGACAGTGGTCTCTTCTAGCCTTAGAATCTATGAGTAATTTGTGCCATTATTTTTCATTAGCCCCAGTCTTTTGCAATGACACTTTACTAAGGTAAGCTGTGCTCTCCCACGCTGGGAGCCCAGAGAGATGGCGGAGAAGCAAAGGAAAGGGACAGAAGTCCCCATCCATTTGTCAGCCGTACCTCTCTTAGGTCACAGTCTGCTCTTGGGCAGAGCACCGCCCCATCCAGGGTGAGTCCACAGCCAGAGCGTAGCCCTCTGGGCTTGTATTTAAGTGTTAGAGAGACTCGGATAGCAGCTCTCCCTTGCCGCCTGGGCAGCCGCGGAGAGCCGTGGGAAGGCAGCTGTTGTCTGGGCAAGGGCTGAGTTGTCTCTCTTCTGACTCCTGGTTGTTTTATCTCCTGCTGGAAGGGTGAGAAAGGAGAGCCTGGAGCGACCATCGGCCCAGATGGGACGGGCATCTCAGCTGGCACGAAAGGAGACAAGGTCACGCGCTGACTCGGGCTCTCGTCTGGCCTGCTTTGGGTGCTCACCCAGCGTTGGGCGCCCCAGCGCAGGGTGGAGCACCACGCCCTGGGAAGTGGGGGGTAGCTGGCTCCAGGGCAGGGCCTGCTCAGGGCCAACCTGCCGCTTCGCATGAAGGTTTATCTGCCTCTGGGGGGCAGTGTGTACACTGAGCAGCCGTGGGATGCAGTGAGGGCTCACACCCAGTCCCCATGCCAGCCTGGGGAATTGGGGCTGCAACGACTGGCCATGACTCACTGCACTGGCCTACATTGCTCTGTCCCTGCGCCCATCTCCTTCCGATGCTCACCCGCCCCACACACACACACCTCATTCCGATGCTCAGCCAGGGCACCAAGCCGTCCTTGCCCTTCGGCCCCCACAGCTGCCAGGGCCGAACCTGCCGAGGGAGGTCAGCTCATTGCGGGAGCGAGGAGAGTTTGAGGCTGGCTCATGGTTAGGGAGGTTGCAGGGCAATCGGGTGTGTTGTCGACAACATGGACACAATTGCCCAAATGTCCCAGGGTGTTGGTGGTACGTGAGCACTGGGAAAGGCCACTTCCTAGTCACTTGCCTGCTGTTAGTAGGCTGTGCTCAGCGTGGGCGGTGCTGGGGACTACATGGCCGGCACAGCAGCGGCACCCATAGATGGGGAGGTAACGTCAGCATGGGGGTGATGGAGAAATGGCCCCAGGAAGAGACTGTGGGATGGCCACATGTGCATCCTAATGCTAATTCTTTTCCTGTTCTTTGCACACAGGGTGAGCAGGGGCTGGTGGGACCCATGGGCCCAGCAGTAAGTTAGCACCTACATCTTTCTAACATTCTGTCAATGAGGGATGGCTTTTCACGCCCTCTGTGTGCCAGGGGTTCACTACAACTGGGGGTCGCGCACACAGATTGTGTGTTCAGGGGGATGGTCTTCATACTCCAAGAGCAGTCTCCTTTCGTCTTGCTCAGAACTGGTTTGAGAGGTACCGAAGCTGGATCTGCAACGGAAACGCCAGCCCAAATGGGCGGTGCTCATTAGCAAGCACTCGCATGGGGCAGTCAGCCAGAGGAGCCAAGGGTTTGGCAAACCCCAGAGCTTGTTCTGGAGCCCTTCTGACTCTATAGCCAGGGTCCGATTGCCAGGAGCAGGCATGTGGCCTCCAACCCAGATGTCTGTGGATCGGTGCTGAGCAATGCTCACAACTCACGTGCACTATCTGAGCTGCAGGAAAGGCCCAGCTGTCATGGACAGGAGAGCTAGAGGTGGCTAGAGGCAAAAAGGCATCTTTTTAAAATTTGGAAGTCAGATCCTAGTGAGGAAAATAGAAAAGAGCATAAACTCTGGTACGTCCGATGTAAAAGTATAATATGACAGACCAAGAAAGAATTTGAGGAGCAACTAGCTAAGAACACAAAAACTAACAGCAACAAAATTTTAAGTACATCAGAAACAGGAGGCCTGCCAAATAGGCAGTGAGGCCACTAGGTGATGGAGAGACTAAAGGAGCACTCAAGGAAGACAAGGCTATTTGGAGAAGCTAAATAAATTATTTGCATACATTTTCACCCTAGAGGATGTGAGAGAGATTCCCACACCCAAGCCTGGAAAATTGTTTGAAACTATAGTAAAGAACAAGATTGTCAGACACACAGATGAACATAATTTGTTGGGGAAGAGTCAACATGGTTTTTGTAAAGGGAAATCATGCCTCACCAATCTACTAGAATTCTTTGAGGGGGTCAACAAGCATGTGGACAAGGGGGATCCAGTGGATATAGTGTACTTAGATTTTCAGAAAGCCTGTGACAAGGTCCCTCATCAAAGACTCTTAAGCAAAGTAAGCTGTCACGGGATAAGAGGGAAGGTCCTCTCATGGATTGGTAACTGGTTAAAAGATAGAAACCAAAGGGTAGGAATAAATGGTCAGTTTTCAGAATGGAGAGAGATAAGTAGTTGTGTCCCCCAGGGGTCTGTTCTGGGACCAGCCCTATTCAACATATTCATGTGTGATCTGGAAAAAGGGGTAAACAGTGAGGTGGCAAAATTGGCAAATGATACAAAATTACTCAAGATAGTTAAGTCCAAAGCAAACTGCAAAGAGTTACAAAGGCATCTCACAAAACTGGTTGACTGGGTGACAAAATGGGAGGTGAAATTCAATGTTGATAAGTGCAAAGTAATGCACATAAGAAAAAATAATCCCAACTATACATATAAAATGATGGGGTCTAAATTAGCTGCTACGACTCAAGAAAGAGATCTTGGAGTCATTGTGGGTAGTTTTCCGAGAACATCCACTCAATGTGCAGCGGCAGTCAAAAAAAGATAACAGAATATTAGGAACCATTAGAAAAATGATAGATAATAAAACAGAGAATGTCATAATCATAGAATATCAGGGTTGGAAGGGACCTCAGGAGGTCATCTAGTCCAACCCCCTGCTCAAAGCAGGACCAATCCCCAACTAAATCATCCCAGCCAGGGCTTCGTCAAGCCTGACTTTAAAAACCTCTAAGGAAGGAGATTCCACCAAATGCCACTGTATAAATCCATGGTACACCCACACCTGGAATACTGCGTGCAGTTCTGGTCACCCCATCTCAAAAAAGATATCAGAATTAGAAAAGGTGCAGAGAAAGGTGACAGACATGACTAGGGGTATGGAACAGCTTCCATATGAGGAGAGGTTAAAAAGACTGGGACTGTTCAGAAATGACTAAAGTGGGGGATATGACAGAGATCTATAAAATCATGAATGATGCGAACAAAGTGCATAGGGAAGTGTTATTTACCCCTTCACATAACACAAGAACCAGGGGTCACCCAATGAAATTAATAGGCAGCAAGTTTAAAACAAAAGGCAGTACTTCTTCACACAATGCACAGTCAACCTGTGGAACTCATTGCCAGGGGATGTTGTAAAGACTAAAAGTATAACTGGGTTCACAAAAGAACTAGATCAGTTCATGGAGGATGGGTCCGTCAATGGTTATTAGTTAAGATGGTCAGAGACATGACCCCATACTCTGGGTGTCCCTAAACCTCTGACTGCCAGAAGCACCTGGCTCTGGCCATGGTTGGAAGACAGTACATTCAGCCCAATAGTCTATCAGTGTGACCCAGTATGGCCATTCTGATGTACTTAGGAATGCACAGAGCCAGGAGGTGTATGCTGAGGACACCGGAATGAAGCATGGCCAGGCTTTTCCACTCCAGTGTCCTTTGTCCTTCGTAGCTAGTCGTCCAGCACAGAGCCAGCTGCACCTCTTTGTTTCTGCTCATGTTGTCCCTGCATGGGTGTGCAGACTGAGTGTGTATTCCTTTCCTGCTCTCCCTTTTAGGGCCCGCATGGACGACCTGGACAGAAGGGGGAAATCGGCTTTCCTGGCAGACCGGTAAGAACTTCTCTTCGCTCGTCTCTGGTTTGTTCCCTGGGTGAGCTGGGTCTGGTGCTCCTTTCCCTAGCCAGCACTGCTCCCGTTGCCTCCCTGGCTGAAGGAAGTGGAGACACCCCCATGCTGAGGCTAATAGGGAACACTGGCGATGCTGCAAGCTTGCTCAGTTGGAAAGCTCTTGCTGTGCTTGTGTTTTCACCAGATGCTCACAAGCAAGCTGAGCAATTGCTATCCTGGGATGCATAAACAGAGCAATCTTGAGTGGGAGCAGAGAGGTAATTTTGCCTCTGCATTTGGCACTGGTGCGAACGGTGCTGGAATCCCGTGTCCGGTTCTGGTGCCCACAATTCAGGAAGGACGTTGATAAATTGGAGAGGGTTCAGAGAAGAGCCGTGAGAATGATTAAAAGATTCAAAAACCTGCCTTAGAGCGATAGATGCAAGGAGCTTAATCTATGTAGCTTACCAAAGAGAAGGTTAAGGGGTGACTTGATCACGATCTATAAATGCCTACATGGGGAACAAATATTTCATAACTGGCTCTTCAGTCTAGCAGAGAAAAGCTCTAACACACTCCCATGGCTGGAAGTTGAAGCCAGATAAATTCAGACTGGAAATAAGGTGTACATGTATAACAGTGATAGTAATTAACCATTGGAACGATTTACCAAGGGTTGCGGTGGATTCTCCATCACTGACCATTTTTAAACCAACGTCAGCTGTTTTTCTAAGAACTCTGCTCTGGGAATGACGGTGGGGCAGGTCTCTGGCCTGTGCTGTACAGGAGCTCAAACTGGACGGTCACAGCACTGGTCAGTAGAACTACATGAACTGGTAGAGCTTGGGGGCTCGCAAACGTCTCCAATTCATTGAGGCCATGTTCCCCTCCCTCCCTGGTGCAGTTTCCCTTCTGATTTAGCGAAAGGAGTGCTGCCTAAGAAAGCCCTCCTCGGGTGCAGTGTGTGGTGGTGTGCCATCAGCTGGAGTCAGCTGTGGGACTGAGCAGGGTTTACAATAAGTTACTGCATTCTGAACCCTTGGCGTGATGTTTGTCTACAGGGTCGTCCCAGCATGAATGGGCTGAAGGGCGAGAAAGGGGACCCCGGAGGGCTTGGCTTGCAGGTGAGTGCCCCTGAGGACAATGGCATGCCGGAGGTGCTGCAGCTGGCTTTGGCAATGGCCTGCTGCGTTGCCCTGGTGCTGTGTAGAGGGAGAGTCTCTACCCAGAGAGCCAACTGCCATAGCATAGAGAAGAGGCACCACTCAGGTTTAATGAGTGAGAGGGGAGGGTTGGGCTGGAGGGTGGACGGAGGGCAGGGATGCTGGCAGGAGCAGCCCAGGGTGGAAAAAGTTTTCAGTGTCCCCCGACCCCCATAGCACCCAAAAACCCCACAGCCAGCCAATCAGAGTGGAGGTGACGGATTGTGCTGTGGTGATGACCCCTGGATGTTGGCGGCCAGGACATCCGCCCTGTCCTTAGAGACGGCCCTGGGCGCTGGGGAGAGGGCTGGGCTGGGGGGACGGGAACACACTTGTGCCCAAGTTGTCGGCGTGGAGCATGGTTTGCTTTGTTAGAGGAAACAGGCGCGCAGGCCAGGGCAGCCATCCCCACTTGTCCCAGCCTAGTTCCTCCTGTGCAGGCTCCAGGAGCGGAGGGCCCTGAGGGAAACAGCCATCAGTCACGGGCGCTCTGCTGCTGTCCCCACCTCACCGACACGCTCCTGGGCGCTGCGTGGCATGTGCCAGCAGAGGGCAGGGGGGAAGGGAGCCGTGATGAATGCCAATGGCCGACTGAAACCCTCGGTCACCCTTCGCTGCCACTGCCACCTGCTCTGGCTTCCCGAGGCCCAGCTCCCCACCATGCTCCACCTGTGCGGCTGCTTCCCTGCTCCTGGCCACGCTGTGCCCATCTCCAGCCTGCCTGGCAGGCAGGGTTCACTGCTGCTGCCTATATTCAAAAGCCTCCATGCACTGGCTCACAACCCCTGCTTCTCCTTGCTCTGCTCCGTTGGCACCAGCCTCGACCTTCCTCTCCTGTGGGCCATCCAAGAGAGTTGGTCCCCCTCAGCCACACTGGCTGCTGTGTCTGCGCTGATTGCCCAGCGAACATGTGCGTTCTCCCTCTCCTAGCCCCACCCCCGGTGCCTTTCTCCATGCCCGTGTTTGTGGTGCAGTGTGGATGAAGGCGCTGTGACTGTAAGTCTGCGCTGACGTTGGCAGCCTTAGGGATTTGGGTACCTGACTTGAGACACGCCCCCCCCAAGAGCCTGATTCTCAGAGGGACTGAGCTCCCCGCCACTCCCAGTGACCCTAGCGCAGCCCCTCTGAAAACCAGGTCTTCAGCGTCTCTGGGCATTCAGGGGCAGAGGTGTCCAGGTGCTTCCGGAGATGTGGGTGTCTGCGTACAGCTGTATTGGGCAGAGACCCACAGCGAGGGTCTTGGTTAGTTTGCAGAGGAGTAAGCCCCTCAGGCTGACTGCATGAGTCCAACCTCGTGAAGGGAGAACTGGAAGTCCTGCCACAGTCAAGGAACTATGATGCGATTGGAATAACAGAGACCTGGTGGGATAACTCACATGACTGCAGTACTGTCATGGATGGATATAAACTGTTCAGGAAGGACAGGCAGGGCAGAAAAGGTGGAAGAGTTGCATTGTATGTAAGAGAGCAGTATGACTGCTCAGAGCTCCTATGAAACTGCAGAAAAACCTGAGAGTCTCTGGATTAAGTTTAGAAGTGTGAGCAACAAGGGTGATGTCGTGGTGGGAGTCTGCTATAGACCACCAGACCAGGGGGATGAGGTGGACAAGGCTTTCTTCCGGCAACTAACAGAAGTTACTAGATCACAGGCCCTGGTTCTCATGTGGGACTTCAATCACCCTGATATCTGCTGGCAGAGCAATACAGCGGTGCACAGACAATCCAGGAAGTTTTTGGAAAGTGTAGGGGACAATTTCCTGGTGCAAGTGCTGGAGGAACCAACTAGGGGCAGAGCTCTTCTAGACCTGCTGCTCACAAACGGGAAGAACTAGTAGGGGAAGCAAAAGTGGATGGGAACCTGGGATGCAATGACCATGAGATGGTCGAGTTCAGGATCCTGACACAAGGAAGAAAGGAGAGCAGCAAAATACGGACCCTGGACTTCAGAAAAGCAGACTTTGACTCCCTCAGGGAACTGATGGGCAGGATGCCCTGGGAGAATAACATGAGGGAGAAAGGAGTCCAGGAGAGCTGGCTGTATTTTAAAGAATCCTTATTGAGGTTGGAGGAACAAACCATCCCAATGTGTAGAAAGAATAGTAAATATGGTAGGTGACCAGCTTGGCTTAACAGTGAAATCCTTGCTGATCTTAAACACAAAAATGAAGTTTACAAGAAGTGGAAGATTGGACAAATGACCAGGGAGGAGTATAAAAATATTGCTCAGGCATGCAGGAGTGAAATCAGGAAGGCCAAATCACACTTGGAGTTGCAGCTAGCAAGGAATGTTAAGAGTAACAAGAAGGTTTTCTACAAGTATGTTAGCAACAAGAAGAAGGTCAGGGAAAGTGTGGGCCCCTTACTGAATGAGGGAGGCAACCTAGTGACAGAGGATGCGGAAAAAGCGAATGTACTCAATGCTTTTTTGCCTCTGTGTTCACTAACAAGGTCAGCTCCCAGACTACTGCACTGGGCACCACAGCATGGGGTGGAGGTGAGCAGCCCTCTGTGGAGAAAGAAGTGGTTCAAGACTATTTAGAAAAGCTAGATGAGCACAAATCCATGGGGCCAGATGTGCTGCATCCGAGGGTGCTAAAGAGTTGGCGGATGTGATTGCAGAGCCATTGGCCATTATCTTTGAAAACTCATGGCGATCGGGGGAGGTCCCGGATGACTGGAAAAAGTCTAATGTGTAATGCCCATCTTTAAAAAAGGGAAGGAGGAGGATCTGGGGAACTACAGGCCAGTCAGCCTCACCTCAGTCCCTGGAAAAATCATGGAGCAAGTCCTCAAGAAATCAATTCTGATGCACTTAGAGGAGAGGAAAGTGGTCAGGAACAGTCAGCATGGATTCACCAAGGGCAAGTCATGCCTGACTAACCTAATTGCCTTCTATGATGAGATAACTGGCTTTGTGGATGAGGGGAAAGCAGTGGACGTGTTATTCCTTGACTTTAGCAAAGCTTTTCATACGGTCTCCCACAGTATTCTTGCCGGCAAGTTAAAGAAGTATGGGCTGGATGAATGGACTGTAAGGTGGATAGAAAGCTGGCTAGATCGTCGAGCTCAACGGGTAGTGATCAATAGCTCTACGTCTAGTTGGCAGCCGGTATCAAGTGGAGTGCCCCAAGGGTTTTGTTCAATATCTTCATTAATGATCTGGAGGATGGCGTGGACTGCACCCTCAGCAAGTTTGCAGATGACACTAACCTGGGAGGAGTGGTAGATATGCTGGAGGGTAGGGATAGGATACAGAGGGACCTAGACAAATTAGAGGATTGGGCCAAAAGAAATCTGATGAGGTTCAACAAGGACAAGTGTAGATTCCTGCACTTAGGACAGAAGAATCCCATGCACTGCTACAGACTAGGGACCGAATGGCTAGGCAGCAGTTCTGCAGAAAAGGACCTAGGGGTTACAGTGGTCGAGAAGCTGGATATGAGTCAACAGTGTGCCCTTGTTGCCAAGAAGGCAAACAGCATTTTGGGCTGTATAAGTAGGAGCATTGCCAGCAGATTGAGGGACGTGATCATTTCCCTCTATTCGGCATTGGTGAGGCCTCATCTGGAGTACTGTGTCCAGTTTTGGGCCCCACACTTCAAGAAGAATGTGGAAAAATTGGAAGGAGTCCAACAGAAGGCAACAAAGATGATTAGGGGGCTGGAGCACATGACTTATGAGGAGAGGCTGAGGGAACTGGGATTATTTAGTCTGCAGAAGAGAAGAATGAGGGGGGATTTGATAGCTGCTTTCAACTACCTGAAAAGCGTTTCCAAAGAAGATGGATCTAGACTGTTGTCAGTGGAAGCAGATGACAGAACACGGAGTAATGGTCTCAAGTTGCAGTGGGGGAGGTTTAGGTTGGATATTAGGGAAAACTATTTCAGTAGGAGGGTGGTGAAGCACTGAAATGGGTTCCCTAGGAAGTGGTGGAATCTCCTTCCTTAGAGGTTTTTAAGGTCAGGCTTGACGAAGCCCTGGCTGGGATGATTTAGTTGGGGTTGGTCCTGCTTTGAGCAGGGGGTTGGACTAGATGACCTCCTGAGGTCCCTTCCAACCCTGATATTCTATGATTCTATGAAACCCAGTGAACTCTTTCCTCTCTCTGCAGGGTCCTCCGGGTCCCCCCGGGCCCCCAGGCACTCCTGGCAGTGCAGTGTCCGTCTACGACAATAACGTAAGTAACAGTCCTGGCACGTCATCACACCATGCTCTGGGGTAGGGGTCACATAATGGCCAGGGCCATGAAAAGTGGTCCCGCTGTTTACCGCCCCCTATTTGCTTGGTGGCACCCACGCAGATGGGCACAGAGGGGCGCTTTCACCAGGCGGATATGTCCAGGAGCACTTATCCCATGAGCACAGCTAGCGGGTAGTGTGCTCGGAGCTGTTGAAGGGTGACAGCCTGAGCGCGTGCTGCACACTGGGAAGACGCATGCCCAATAGCTAGCTTGTCTCGCGTTATCGTCCAGCCAGAGAAAGAGCCTCTTTCCCAGAGCACTGTGCGGACGGTGCCGCGCCCAGCTCCCCAGAGCAGTGAGTTGCATGTCCTGGGGCCCAGGAGCCCCCATTTATTTCTGTCTTGCTCAACAACTTCAGGGTAAATCCACCTAGAAACCAGGACCAGCCAAGCACCCCCCATGCCTGCCCAGCAACAGGGTGGTGGGAGCATGGAGCCTGCCATCCCCTTTAGCGGCTGAGCAAAGCCTTCCCCAGGGCTGGGTTGGTCAGGGGCTGTGCGGGGCTGGGCAGTGCCCGTTCATGCCAGTCTGTCATTGATTTAGCCTCGCAGGCACCATGCAGTCCTAAACCCAGAGTAAGCAAATACCCAACCCTGTTCTGAAACCCAACAGTGAAATCTAGGCCCAGATTCTGCCCCCCACACACTGGGCAGCCCCACAGCTCACTGACTTCACCAGGACTGCGCGCAGCGTGTGGGACCGTGCAGGTGGCAGGATCTTGGACTTTATCGGATGGAGCATGTGGCCTTGTGCCCACTCCCTGCGATCAAGGCGCTCGCTAATGGGTGGATGGTTAGTGTGTCAGCATGTCTGCATCGGGAAACGCAGAGGAACCAGTGAGCGCTGCTTGCTGGCAGGGAGAGTCCCAGCAAGAGGGGAGGTTCTGTGCTCATGCTTCGCACGTGGTCTAACATAGCATCATTGGGGAGACCTTGGCTGTAGAACGTGCCAGGCCCTGGGGCAGCGGGGCAGAATGCCTGGGAAGTGTGCTTTGTTTTAAAGCGATGCTATTTCTGTCTTTTCAGGCATTTAGTGAGTCGGGCCCTCCCGGCCCTCCAGGATTGCCTGGTAAGGATGATGCTAGTGCTGGGGCTTTCTGCAGCAACGGGGGAAGGAAATCAGAGCTTTTCCAATGAACCTTTTGTGATGGTGCGGCCCTGAATGGCTTTGGAGATCTTAGCATGGCCGTGAGGAAGGGTGGGGTTTTAGAAAGCCCCAAGCAGGAGACATACAAACCGGGGGCTTGTTTATAATGCCTGGTTACCCTTGTCCTGGATTCTACAGTGCTGGGTGCTATGGGAAGTCTAAGCTGGCTACGGGATAATGGAGCCCTTCATTACTGTGTTGTGCCATGCTGTAACCTTCGCTGATAAGGCTGGGCAAAGAACGGGGCTGGTCCTACAAAGAGGAACAAATCCTTCATTTTAATCGCAATTTCAGCTTTTCAGTGAAGAGATGAAACCCAAAATGTTTTGAGTGGAAACTGAAATATCCAAGTTGAAATATTTCAGATGCCAGTTTTCATGCGTTTGGGAGTTTTGATGAGAAGTTGACATTTTCCATGGCATGCAGACACTTTCTGCAAAGCTTTCATGACCTCAGAAACCCAGGTTTCCATCGAAAACAGTTTTGATGGAAAGCTTTCCACAAACCCTACTTCCTGAGTAACCCAGGATCTGATGGCTGTATCTCTCCCCTGGCTATGGCATCTTACCCCCCGGTAGGGCCTGACTAACATGACTTGGTAAACTCCCTCCCGTGGTCGGTCTGGCTGGGGAGCTGCCTAGCACACCCTTGCTCACTGTTAGGGATAATGCTAGTTAGCCTCCGTCATTCTAGCTGCAGATGCAGATTGTTGCTGCTGGCTCTCAGTGGAGGGCTATGGCTCTTGTGTGGTGAGAGATCCTGCCATTACCTTCTGGTTTGGGCGGGAAGAAGCTAGGAAGCCCATTTCCAGCATGTGTGTCTTCTGCATTAGCACTTGGACCCCACGAGAGCTCTGTTCTTTGACTCCATTGCCCGGTTGTTTCTCTCGCTGCCTGGGGAGTTGACTGTACATGTGAACCACTCTGCCTCTTCCAGAGCTCAGGAGGGGACTATTTTGTTTTCATATCTCTTGCTGGCCAGTAGAAATGTGCAGCATGGTTGCTTTAGCATATGGCCAAGTAGCGTCACCTCGCGAGGCAGGGGCTGTGCAGTCTCACACACCTCTGATGGGAGGTGTTAGTGCGGGTGTGTGCTGCCTTCCGGTGTTCAAGCGCACTTACCATCAGCGTTTGCCTGCATTTACTCCAGGCATGCCACCCTTCGCCCTGTGCATGTGGTGGGTGCAGTTAAAAGCTGCTGTAGTTCCGGCCTCTCTCCTCCAACTTCACCATTGCCCGAGCAGTGTTAGACTAATGCCGGTGCTTTCTTTTGTCAGGCTACCAGGGTCCCCCAGGACAAAAGGGTGAACGAGGCGAGACAGGCACCCCCGGGCCCCCAGGTAAGTGAGCACATCCCTGATCTTCCATCTGCACTGCGCCGGACTTGGTCCTGCCTCATGGCTTCTTTGTTTCGGTCTTCACCGAGAAGTCTGAAGGAATGCCTAACA